TTATTAAATGCTTTGTGTATACTTGAAAAGGCTGTGTGTCCTGCTGTTGAGGCAGGTTTGTTCTTTTAACATTTACTAGTCAGTTGGTTTGTATTATTCAGCTCTTCTTCTCTTTGGTCTATCAATCATTGAGAAATAATATCTGAGTATATTTTCTGATTTGCCTTTGTTGTTGTTGTTGTTGTCAAGCAGGGTTTCACTAGGAACTGTTGGCTGTCCTTGAACTCAGTGCTGGGATTAAACATGTGAACCACCATGCTGGGCTTCCTACTTTTCTTTCTTTTTCTTATACTTTGGAGCTCTGTGAGAAGATGCATGAATGCTTAAGATTTACTGCCATCTTGATGACCTTTTTTATTGAGAAATTATTCTTTCTGTTTTGGGTCATCCCCCCCCCCAGGGGTTCATGCATGCTAGGCAAGTGCTCTACCACTAACCTATGTCCTCAACCCTGTGAAATCATCCCCCTTACTCTTTGCTCTGGAACTGGCTCTGTCTGGTATTGATATAAACACGCTGGCTTTTTTTTTTGGATTGGTGTTAGCATGGTGTGTCCTTTCTCCATCCTTTTAATCCATTTGTGTTTTGATATTGAAAGTACATTTTTCTTTTTCTTTTTTTAATAGTTTATTTATTATGTATACAGTGTTCTGCCTGCATGTATGCCTACCCACCAGAAGAGAGCACCAGATATCATTACAGATGGTTGTGAGCCACCACCTGGTTGCTGGGAATTGAACTCAGGACCTCTGAAAGAGCAGCCAGTGCCCTTAACCACTGAGCCATCTCTCCAGCCCACTACATTTCTTTTCTAAAAAGTGTACATGTGTGTATCTGTGTGTGTGTGTGAGAGAGAGAGACAGAGACAGAGACAGAGAGAAATTGGGGGGAAAGGTGTGTACATGCCACAGGGTTTGTGTGGAGGTCAGAGGATACCTGTGGAGTTGATTCTCTTCTTTCACCTTCACAGTAGTTCCAGGGTTCAAGCTCAGGTGGCCAGGTTAGCATGACAACTGCCTCTCTGCCTGCAGAACCTTCTCAGTGTCCTGAAAGTGGAGTTCTGATCAGGAGCTGCAGTGAGTCTGCCCCACGTCATCCCAACTATGTCCTTCTCTCAGTTGCCCAGAAGACTTCTCGCTTTATCATTGGTTTCATTTTATTTGATTGTAATGTGCTTTGTAGGGTCTTTCTTGTGTCCGTTGTGTTTGTAGTGTTAAACTTTTTGGATTTGTAGATTATAGACTTCATCCATTGTGGGGAAATTTTCTGCTGTTCTTTCTTCAAATATTTTTAGTCCTTGTCCTCATTCCTTTTGGAAACTCCAGAGATATATAGGAGCACTCGAAACTGCTACGGCACTGACCTCTGGGACGCCTTGTTTGCCCTTGACACTCTCACTGCAGTTCCCATCCCCCACACTGTGGTCTGGGTCCAGACGCCTGGGGTCTTCATGTCCCACCTCCGTGTCTCCAGCCCTTGGACACTAATTCTGGCCACTCTCAGTTTGACTTAGTTTTAGTTGACTGATTTCTTTATATATATATATAATATTCTTTTTTAAAGATTTATTTATTTTATGTATGTGAGTGCTCTATATGCATGTACAACTTTATGCCAGAAGAGGGCATTATCCCACTGTAGATGGCTGTTAGCCACCATGTGGTTGCTGGGAATTGAACTCCTGTGGAAGAGCAGCCAGTACCCTTAGCCACTGAACTGTCTCTCCAGCCCCGACTGATTTCTTTAATAGGCCATATCATTTTGCTTTTTTGTAGACGTGGCAGTTTCTAGTTGGATGCTAGACATTGTGAATTTTACCTTAATTCTTGGTCTTTTTTAGTTCCTGTAAACATTTTCTCAGAGTAGTTATTTGAAAACCAATTTGATCCTTTTAGTGAGATGTGGTCTCATTCTCTCTTCTTTTTCCCTCACTCACCACCCTCCTTCCCTTTTTCTTCCTTTCTTTCTTGTTCTTGGTTTGGAGTCAGGGTCACATGTAGCCTAGGTTGGCCTCAAACTTGCAATATAGCCCAAGTTGGCCTCAGACTCACCATGTAGCCCAGAATGATCTTGAATCCTCCTGTTCCTGCCTCCCAACTTCTGGCATCATGGATATGTTCCACCATGCCTGGCTTCAGATTCTTCAAGATTGGCTAGTAAAGAGCACAACAGTGCTCCCTCCTTCCCCACTATTGAGGTAAGATTCTTTTGTGCATTGTACTAAAAACATCCTGTGACTTGTGGGGTTTTCCAGTCTGTCTCTTCTTAACTAGTGTGAACACTGACCATTCTTCTTTCCGATCTTGCCACTTCTCTCTCTCCCCCACCCCCTCCCTGCCATCCTTAGGTAGCTTCCTTCCTCTTACTTGTGTTCTGGTGGGTACTCAGCTGGATACTTGAGGACCCTCTGCCAATGTCCAGAGCTCTCTCTGCCTCTCTCTCCTAGGACACTGCCTCCTCCAAACTTCGGTCACTTTACTTTCATTTTGGAGTTCTCACAGGAAGTCTGCTGACCTCTATTTGTGGCCTTCTCTTGTTCTAGGACTTGGATTTGGTGGTCTTTCCTAAGCTCTGTATTTGACCTTATTCAACCAGCATTTGCCTGTTTCTGCTGTAGGCTGAAAGGTAGCATAAGCCTCTCACTGTAAGCCCACCAAGGCCTGGCCAGTTCCTGGCTTTCTACATAAAGAAGTTTCCTCAGGGCTTCAGTTAAGGGTAGGAACATGGAGACTAGGATTTCATTTGTTTTTTGAGACAGGGTCTTTCCATGTAGCTCTGGCTGTCCAAGAATTCACTCTGTAGACTAGTCTGACCTTGAACTCACAGAGATCCATCTGCCTCTGCCTCCTGAGTGCTGGGCTAAAGGTATATGCCGCCACATCTGGATTAGATTTTTTTTTTTAACTAATTGTTTTGGAAACTATTGCTTTCATCTTTTTTACTTTTGGTTCTAGCCAGGATGGTTGGTTAATTTAGTCCTTGTTACTCCATCTAGGTTGGAATCAAAAGTGTTACTGCTTTAATTATAAGTTAACAGAATTATGTATTTTTAAAATAAATACAATGAAGAATGGTGTTTGACTTTCAAGAATTTGTACCTATTTTCTATTGTCTTTTTTTTAAAGATTTATTTATTTATTATGAATACAGTGTTCTGTCTGCATGTATCCCTGCCCACCAGGAGAGGGCACCAGATCTCATTGTAGATGGTTGCGAGCCACTTTGTGGTTGCCAGGAACTGAACTCAGGACTTGTGGAAGAACCAGTGCTCTTAACCACTGAGCCATCTCTCCTACCCTATTTTCTGTTGTCTTGTGCCAACTCTGAGAATTGTGATAACAGTAGAACCAGGTGGAAAACATAATACTTAGGAATTGTATAACACTCAGTGCAGTTCATTCTCCATTGCTGAAATGTAATTTAGGTATAATGTTTTAGATTCTCAGAGTCAGGTATTAATCTTTAACTGTTTTAAAATAGTATTAGCTAGGTTCAGTGATGCATGCCTATACCAGCTGCTTGGAAGGCCAGTATAGGAGGATCACCTAAACCAGGAGTTCAAGATTAGCCAGGAAACATGAGACCATATGTCAAGAAATAATAATAGACTTTATTTTTAGAGCAGTTTTAGGTTCACAGCAAAATCCACAGCAAAGTATTGACAGCTCTGATGGAACCGTGGTGTTGTGCGCACAGAGCCTCCTCAGTGGGGCTGTTCCCACCAGAGCCAAATAAATGCATTGTCATCATCGCCCAGAACCCCTCATTCACATTCAGGTTCACTCGCTGTTGTCCTGGCCTTCAGCTCTTAACTGATGTCTCCATAGCTTTCTCGATTGCTCCAGTTATTGGCACCTGGAGCCTCAGTGATCTGGAAGTTGCAGCTCCAAAAGAGGCACTCTGGCTTTACTTTGCCTTAGGTCATGGTTTCCATGAGCTTGTGTGATTAGGGAACTGCTAGTTTCTCTGGCTCTCTGTCAATCCATCTTCCTTTTCCATCCATCTCTGTTTCTTCTATCCTGGTGGCTTCAGTTCCCAGAAGTCTCTGTTCTTCTCCTTGCCTCCCTTCTGGATCTTTGTTGTATATTTTGAGTCTCAGTGTAAGCTCACCTCTCCTAGAAAGTGTTCCTGACCTCTGTCATCTTCCTCCCCCAGCCTGGTGTATATCCCTATTTTGTCTAGATTTGTTTCTTACCATAAGACCAGAGTTTGTAAGTGACTTCATTTGATTCTTAGTGTGTGTGGAGTGGGTCTTCTCACTCTGTTTACCACTGAGCAGACTTCTCTGGGAAGTTAATCTATCTAATGTCAAGTACCAGATGTGGTGGACTCAAACAGATGTTTCTGCTCTGCAGCCTGTGCTTTACAGCCTCTGATTTAATGACCTCCTCCAACTTAATTTCTTAGAATTAAGTCCAATGTAAATTTTCTTCTCTTTTTTTGAAACAAGGTTTTACTGTAACCTCTGCCATTCTGGACCTCGGTATATAGACTAGTCTGGCCTTAAGATCCCAGAGATCCATTTGTCTCTCCCTCCTTGGGATTAAAGGTGTGGGCTACCACAACCAGCCAGCAGAAGAATTTTGCATTTAGTTGATACTGAAGGTTGAATGTGTACTAGAATATGTTTTTGTTTTTGAGACAGGGTTTCTCTGCATAACTCTGGTTTTCCTGGAACTCACAGAGATCCACCTGTTGCTGCCTCCAAGTGCTGTGATTAAAGGCATGCACCACCACACCATTTGACTTTTCTTTTTTCTTTCTTTCTTTTTTTTGAGACAGTCTCACTGTGTAGCCCAGGCTGCCCTCAACCTTGCAATAGTTCTCTCACCTTTTCCTCTCCAGTGCTGAGATGATAGATGTATGCCATTGTGCCCAGCTTTAGAATGAAGTTTTAGTTTAGGGAATATGTTACATAACAGTGTCATGGCTTAATTTTTGAGACTCATTGTCCTGGATCATCAGAATCTGAAGTAACAGACTTTCTGCATCATTCTCAGGGACAATTTTTGCATATGGACAGACTGGCACAGGCAAGACTTTCACCATGGAAGGTGTCCGCGCTGTGCCGGGGCTCAGAGGAGTCATCCCCAACTCATTTGCTCACATATTTGGTCACATCGCAAAAGCAGAGGGTGACACAAGGTGAGAGAGTGCCTCTATTTCCTAACCCTGAGAGGGTCAGACCTGGGAAAGACCTCGAGGCATGACATTTTTAAACACACGTAAGACATGGAGTATTCCTTCATACTTGCAGGTTTTTGGTTCGAGTGTCATACTTGGAGATATATAATGAAGAAGTCCGAGACCTTTTGGGCAAGGATCAGACACAGCGGTTGGAGGTAAGGATGGAATTGAAGTTAAGATAAAAATTGGAGGGCCGGGTGTGTGGTGCATACCTTTAATCCTGGCACTCAGGAGGCAGAGGCAGGCAGATCTCTGTGAGTTCAAGGCCTGGTCTACAAAGTGAGTTCCAAGACAACTACAGAGACAATACACAGAGAAGCCCTGTCTTGAAAAAAACAAAACAAAAATTGGAATAAACTGTTATACTCATAGATCGGTACCTCATAGACGGGTACCTAGCCCAGTTGTCATCAGAGAGGCTTCCTCCAGCAGCTGATGGGAGCAGATGCAGAGACCAACACCCAAATGTTAGCCAGAGCTTGGGGAACCCTGCAGAAGAGGGGGAGGAAGGATTGTAGAAGCCAGAGGGGTCAAGGACACCAGGAGAACACAGCCCACAGAATCAACTCAGAAGGGCTCATAGGGGCTCACGGAGACCAAAGAAACAATCACAGTCTGCATGGGTTTGTGCCTAGGTCCCCTGCACACATGCTCTGCTTGTTTAGCATGGGGTGTTTGTGGGACTCCTAAAGTGGGAGTGGGGGTGTCTCTGACTCTTTTATCTGCTCCTAGGACCCTTTTCCTCCTACTGGGTTGCCTCATCCAGCCTGGATAAGAGGGTTTGTGCCTAGTCTTACTGCCTCTCTGCCTTAGTTAGGTTTCTATTGCTGTGAAGAGATACCATGACCACAGCAACTCTATTAAAGAAAACATTTAAGTGGGGTGGCTCACTTACAGTTACCAGAGGTTCAGTCTATTATCATCATGTTGGGAGCCATGGTGGCATGCAGGCAGATGTGGTGCTGGCTACATCTTGGCTTTGCAGGCAACAGGAAGTTGACTGACAGTCATTCTGAGGGAAGCTTGAGCAAAAGAGACGTCAAAGCCCAACCCTACAGTGACACACTTCCTCCAATAGGCCACACCTCCTAATAGTGCCACTCCCTTTGTGAGCAATTTTCTTTCAAACCACCACACTTTATGCCGTGTTCAGTTTATATCACTGGAAGGCCTGCTCTTTTCTGAAGGGAAAGGGAGCAGCAGTGGGTCTAGGGGGAGAGGGAAGGACTCAGGGTTGGGGGAGATGGGAAATGGGGACTGAGAGGAATGGAGGGGAGGGAGGCTGTGGTTGGGATGTACTGTATGAGAAAAGAATAAATAAAAAAGAAAAAATATGAAAAAAATTTGAATAGAGTGCTTGCCAAATTAAGGTCTTTTTTGTACAGAAGGTACTTTTAAAAACTACCTATATATGTCACTTACAAGTGCAAACCATTTGAGCATAAGTCACTGAAGCATAACTGCTGAATCAAGTTTGGGAGATATTGCCATCTTAAAAATATTTTAAGATACAAGACAAATGGGCTGGAGAGATGGCTCAGGTTAGGAGCACTGGCTGCTCTTCCAGAGGTCCTGAGTTCAATTCCCAGCAACCACATGGTGGCTCACAACCATCTGTAATGAGATCTGGCACCTCTTCTGGCCTGCAGGGATACATGCAGGCATAACACTGTATATGTAATAAATAAATTAATTTAAAAAAGATACAAGACAAACAAGAAAAGATGAGCCTTTTAAATACTAGTATGGGCATTTTTATTTTTGTAAGTGCCCAGTTTGATTTTTCTATTTGAAGATCCTTGCCAGTGTTCTCCTACCCCAAATCAGTCTGCCTTCTATTCTTGCACGTTTTAGGTTAAATATCACATTGCAGAAGCTTACCCTGTTCCTTTTACTAGCTTGGTGTCTTTGAGACATTCCCAGGGCTGGCAAGATGGTCCAGCAGGTAAAAGAGCTTGCCACCAAGCCTGAGGACCTGAGTTTAATCTCTGGGGTTCACGTGGTGGAAGGAGAGAACTGGCTCCCACATATTGTCTTCTGACCTCATGTGTGCCCTGGCATGCACAAAACACACATGCATGCACGCACACATGTGGAGTTTTAAGTGAACTGTTCTCTCACGCTGTTTTGTATTTTATTCATGGCATCATCACAAATAATTGTGTGCAGTATTTATTTGTACTTGAAGCTTTATGACCTTCGTGAATATGGGCATTGCTCATAACCACACTCCGCTGTCTTCCCATGTATAATAGTTGATACTCAGTAAGGAACTGGAAAACTTAGCATTATAAAGTCTTAGGCATGATTTTTGTTTGCTTTTTAGGTTAAAGAAAGGCCTGATGTGGGAGTATATATCAAAGATTTATCAGCTTATGTGGTCAATAATGCTGACGATATGGATAGAATCATGACGCTAGGCCACAAAAATCGTAAGTGTGATACATAATTGTGATGAAATGCCTATATTTGAATGCTGGTTGAGAAGCAAATAAATATGGCTTTTGCCCCATAGAGGTTGAATTTTTTATAAAGTCCACTCATTTTATATACTATCTAGGGAACATATATAGGTGAACAATAACATGGATTGTTTTTCATGCCGACTGAAGTTTTCTTTAGTACCAAGAAAACTTTATTTATTTATTCAGAGACAGGGTCTTACTATCCTTTATTTTTATTTTATGTATATGAGTGTTTTGCCTGCATGCCAGAAGAGGGAATAAGATTTCCTGGCACAGGAATTACAGATAATTGTGATCAGTTATGCGAGTGCCGGGAACCCAACCCAGGTCCCCTGAAGAACAGTAGACACTCTTAACTGCAGAGCCATCTCTCCAGCTGCTCCTGCTGCTGCTTCTGCTGCTGCTGCTACTGCTGCTTCTGCTGCTGCTGCTGCTGCTTCTTCTTCTTCTTCTTCTTCTTCTTCTTCTTCTTCTTCTTCTTCTTCTTCTTCTTCTTCTTTCTTCTTTCTTCTTTCTTCTTTCTTCTTTCTTCTTTCTTCTTTCTTCTTTCTTCTTTCTTCTTTCTTCTTTCTTCTTTCTTCTTTCTTCTTTTTCTTCTTCTGTTTGTTTTGTTTTGTTTTGTTTTGTTTTCCTGATACAGGATCTCTCTACATAGCCCTGGCTGTCCTGGAACTCACTCTGTAGACCAGGCTGGCCTTGTACTCACAGAGATCTGCCTGTTTCTACCTTGCAAGTGCTGGTCTTTAAAGCATGTGCCACCAAGCCCTACTCCCCAGCCTCATAATTGTGCCAGTCTTTGAAGCTGTCATAATGTTACAGCTTGCTAGTTAAAATATTGATAACTTTTTGATTGAGCACTTACTGAGTGGGAAGTCCTTGCACTGTGTGCTTTATGGGGATGATCGATTAGTCTTTACTGTAGTGTATGGGGATATGAAATTCCTACTTTATGAATGAGGCGACTGAGATGTAGTTTGAATACCATGTCTAAAATAATACAATTACTAAGTGGTAGGGTGTTTGAACCTAGGATATTAATCTGAGTTAGCCAGAATATATACTTCTTCCCTTCTGTTGAAAATTAAAGCAAAATTAAACTAACATTTTTCTCCTTCTAGTAATTGTTACAGATTTTTCATCTAAAGAATAAAAATCTGGGCTAGAGAGATGGTTCAGAGGTTAAGAGCATTGACTGTTCTTCCAGAGGTCCTGAGTTTAATTCCCAGCACCCACATGGTGGCTCACAACCATCTGTAATGAGATCTGATGCCCTCTTCTAGAATGAAGGCAAACATGCAGGCAGAACACTGTTTACATAATAAATAAAATTTTTAAAAAATTGTTCAAAAAAAAAATAAAAGTCTTGCCAGGTATGATGGCATATACCTGTAATCCCAGCTTTCAGGAGGCAGAGGCAGATGGACCTCTGAGTTTGAGGTTAGCTTTGTCTACATGGGAGTTTTAGGCCAAACAGAACTATCTTGCCCAGGCTGGCCTCAAACTTGTGGTTCTCCTGCCTCAGCCTCCTAAGTACTAAGATTAGAAGAATGAACCTCTACACTGATTGCTTAGCATGTGTTAAAAATTGTATTTGTTTTTGTTTTTGTTTTTAGCAGTCTCACATGTAGTAGTGGTTGGCTGGAACTTGATGTATAGATGAAGTGGGCTCACAGAGTTCCACCTGCTTCTGCCTCCTGAGCGCTGAGATTAAAGGCATGTACCACCCATGCCCAGCTCTTCATGTTTTAACAAAGATGGTTCCTGTAGGATTGGCATCTTTTGATGTGACTGGATATGGACCCACCTATGTTTTTAATGGCCATTTAGTGACTTAGCTATTCCATAGTGGATTATCCAGTGTTGTGTTGGATCTTTCTGGTCCTCACTGTTCCAGTGTTCAGTGATTCCTCCTGCAACATCTCGTGTGTGTGTGCAGATCATGCTGCGGTGTAGAGTCCCAAACATAATTCTCTCTAGAGAGTTGTCAGCAGTTTTTTCCTAGTTATTTAACACGTGTTTCTTGTTGTGGTGTAGTTTTTTTTTTTGAAGAGAGAAGATCATGCTATGTTGCCAAGGCTGGCCTAGGTTACCTGGATTGATGTGTTCTCCTGTCTTGGCCTCCTAAGTACACACCACCATGTCCAGCTTCATAGATTGTTATACTCTTTAGATAATAATATTTGGGAATGAAGTAAAAGAATGTTATTCTTTGATATTTTTTTTCTGAAGCTGAGGACAGAACCCAGGGCCTTGTGCTTGCACAAACCCTCTACCACTGAGCTAAATCCCCAACCCTGTGATTATGTTTTAATATTTGGGAATGAAGTGAAGATGTTATTCTATGACTGTGTTTTAATGTGAGTACATTATAGATTCTTTGGTTATAGTGTGAATTACAAAGGAAGTATACAGTGTCCCAACACACCTGTAGTCATAGTCAGTGGCTGTGATGAAATCAAGTATTTTAAATGTTTTGGTTATTTAATTAGTAAAGGTACTCTCTGGGCTGAGGATAGCTCAGTTGGTAGAGTGCTTATCTAGTATGCATAATGCCCTGGGTCAATCCCCAGCACTCCATAAACTGGGTCTGGTGGTATTCAAGAGGTAGGAAATCAAAGTTCAAGGATAGCCTGGGCTACAGGACACCCTGTCGAAACAAAAAAAAAAAGTAAACATAAAGGCATTCTGTTACAGTTTTTAAGGTTTTCTTTTATTTGTTAAAGGTTCTGTTGGTGCAACTAACATGAATGAGCATAGTTCGAGATCCCACGCCATCTTTACAATTACTATAGAATGTAGCGAGAAAGGTGTTGATGGAAACATGCATGTCAGGATGGGGAAGCTCCACCTGGTGGATCTTGCTGTAAGTAACGGGAGAGTCTGTCCCTGTGGTCCACTTACCTGTCAATAAAAATTAAAGCCGAAAGGAGTAGTGTACTTGTGATTTTAAATTGCTTCTTATTGTGGGATATCTGAAAATAGAGTAGCATTATGACTCTCTTGTTTCACCTCCTGCCGAGGCTTCTTTGTGTATTCTTACTTCTTCCCTCATGATTTTGAAGTGAATTCCAGATGTTACATGAAATATATTAAATTACTTCAAAAAAAACCCCCCAGATTTTAGAAAAATGCATTCTTGATTTTAAAAAGCTTTGAGTTTTTATCTCTTTCTTGCTAGGGGTCAGAAAGACAAGCGAAAACTGGAGCCACAGGACAGCGCCTCAAGGAAGCTACAAAAATCAACCTTTCCCTCTCTACCCTGGGCAATGTCATTTCTGCCTTGGTGGATGGAAAAAGCACACATGTGCCGTATCGGAACTCTAAACTGACGCGTCTGCTGCAGGATTCCTTAGGAGGGAACTCAAAAACCATGATGGTAAGACCTCAGTCATGGCATGGTTAATTCATACAAGGCCAATTTAAGATTCGGATTCATTCCCATCATTGAAGTGAATAACATTTTATAAATTGATCCCTTTCTTTGTATAATACAACACGTGATTCCCATTGTTGTATTGTTTCCAAAGCTGTATGCTCAATGCTGGTTTTTAGAAGAGAACTGCACATGTGGATCGGGCATGTGTTTTGGTAATGGTGGTGTTAGTGGCGGTGTAGAATGATGGACGTTTCTAATTCAACAGTGTGCAAATATTGGGCCAGCAGATTATAATTACGATGAGACCATCAGCACCTTGCGCTATGCCAACCGAGCCAAGAACATTAAAAACAAAGCAAGAATTAATGAAGACCCAAAGGATGCTCTGCTTCGTCAGTTTCAGAAAGAAATAGAAGAGCTGAAGAAAAAGCTTGAAGAAGGTAACTTCGCACAAAGATTCTTGTCAGCTGAGGCATGCTTGGGACCACTGCATTTGCCTTTAAAATGGCCTGCCAAGCAATAGCGTTTAACATTGATGTTTAAAGTTTCTGTGTATGTGCTTCTGTGTGTGTTGGGCATGTGTGAGTGCAAGCACACACATGCCACAGTGTATGTGTGAAGGTCATAAGACACCCATGGGAGCTGGTTCTCTTCTTGCACTCTGGTTCTGGGGCTTGAACTCATTCATGTCAGACTTAAAGGGCAAATTTTTTACCTGCTGAGCCCTTTATTAGACCCTAGCATTGACATTTAAAAAAATATTTCTGAGGAATATGTGTCTTCTAAGAAAATATTTTCTAAGGCCATCTAGAAGGTTACAAAGTTAGAAGTTCCAGCCTGTGGTGGTGGCACACGCCTTTAATCCCAGCACTTGGGAGGCAGAGGCAGGAGGATCTTTGAGTTCTCGGCCAGCCTGGTCTACAGAGTGAGATCCAGGACAGCCAAGGCTACACAGAGCAACCCTGTCTCGGTAAAACCAAAATATAAAAAAAAAAAAAGCAAGAAAGAAAGAAAGAAAGAAAGTTTGAAGTCCTGACTGATGACTGATGGTCCTGAGGAGCTTCCTGGTCAGTTCTGGGACTCCCATGCCATCTACAAGGGGATGAACCCTCTCTGACTGGCATAGAGCTCCCTGTGCAGCAGGTGAAGGGCCTGGAGTCCAAGCCATTGGAGTCTCTGGGGGAAAACCCAGAGGTACCAACCTGCCACTGGTGGGTCTGGGGAAAAGTCAGGTTCTGAGAAAAAGCAGGAGAGAAGCACCTCACAGATAATAAAGTTGGCATTTTTGAATGGCCACTAGGTGGCATTTGTAGCCAGTTTGTTTTTAAGATCTTTGATTTCCCTGTTAGTGCTGAGCTCAGCCTTCATTTTGATGATTTCATTCCCTCCCCTCCCCTCATGTATCCCTGTCTGTCCTGGAACTCACTATGTAGACCAGGCTGACCTCAGACTCACAGAGATCCGCCTGGCTCTGCCTCCTGAGTGCTGGAATTAAAGGTGTGTGCTACCACAGCCAGGTGCTGCTACACCTCTTGGTTCTTGTGAATGGTGTGGCTGTGCACATTGGATACACATGTTCAAGTCCTTGTGCATATTGTGGTGGGCCTGTATCCAGAGGGAGAGTTGTATATTCATATTCTTTGTAGTGTGTTTCACTTTATTTGCCTCCTTCTGACCCTATGCTCTATAAGCAAAGGCATTAAAGGGCTTTTTTATTTGTTTTTCAAGACAGGGTTTCTCTGTGTAAGAGCTCTGGCTGTCCAAGAACTTACTTTGTAGACCATGCTGACCTCAAACTCACAAAGCTCCACTCTGCTTTCTGAGTTAGATCCTGTCTCAAAAATTATTTTTTCTTAAAAAGTAAGATAAAATTTCTGTGTACATTGTGTGTGTGGTTGCATGTGAATATGTGTGTATGCACATGCTTAGAGACTAGGACAGTGGGGGTGTTCTTCCTCCGATACTGCCCACTGTTTTAGTGGGCTGGGGAAGACAGACAGACTCTCTCACTGACCTGGAACTCCCCAAGTAGGCTGGACTGGCTTGTCAGCAAACCCCAGGGATCCCCAGTCTCCACCTGCTTGTCAGATAAGCTGTGAACATTTCAATAGATTTTCAGTTTGTGTTTGAGCAACAAAAACTTAATGAAGAGAATGGATATAGGCATTTTATAAATAGCCAATGACTTGGTACAGACTAAAAATCATTGTTAAATTTCTGTCCAAGGGGAAGAAGTCTCAGGCTCTGACGTCAGTGGTTCAGAGGAGGATGACAACGAGGAGGGTGAGCTTGGAGAAGATGGAGAAAAAAGGAAGAAGAGAAGGGGTAAGTCCTGATTATGTTCTAACCGGTCACAGCTGGCTAGAATTGTTCTCTGATGATGCCCACTTTATAGTTGGTATTTTTACTTATGGTAGTGGTTCCAGCAGGGAACTTCTGCTATATGTGGTTAACTTTGTAAACATTCTCTCTTGTTTATCTTGCTGACCCAGGATGCCATATTGCCTCTTGTAAAAAAATTTTTTTCTGTTGTAAAATTCTACAGTTTCACATCTGTGTTAGGTCCCTTGGCTTTTTAGGATAATGTGGGCTTTCTCTTCAAATGATGTTAGCCTTTAAAAATCATTTGCGGGTGGTTTGTTTGAATAGTTTTTCACTGAAGTCCTGTCTTTGTAAACTTGTGTCATACTCTCCCTTTGGGACAGCTTCCAGTGTGGACTGAGACTGCTCAGCTAAGGCTGCAGATGGCATGGCCCTGCCTCATTCTAATCAGAGCTCTCCTCAGCTCCTGCAGGCTGCTGCACAGTCTCAGTTATTCAGTCCTGGAGAAAACAAGCCCATCACTGCTCGATGGGGGACCCAAATTAAAAACTGAAGATTTTGTACATCCAAAAGACAGAAAAAGCACCATGTAGGGCAGGAGTTGGCAGCGTACAGTGTGCTGGCCAAATCCATGGGGACCTGTTTTTGTAAACAGAGTGATCTTAAAGCAGCTACGATCAACTGTTTACATGTGGTCTGTAGCTGTTCACATCAAAGCACATGGTCTGGCCGTTGGTCCTTTCACAAAAACTGTTATCAGTCCCTGATTTAAAAAATGTTTTTATTTATAGCTCATTTTTTAAAGTAAACTATTGTTTCTTTGACTTGAAGCAGATAGTAGACTTACTAAAAATAAATTTTATGTAGAAAAAAGTGCTGCTGTTTAATATGCTAAAATATTTTAAATACGTTTTACCTTGTGTGGAGAAGCTTAATATTTTTCACTGAGCCTTGTTAATTATGCTGTCAAGCTTTAGACATAAAAGTAAAGTTTGGTATCATGATGCCTTGAGGGGATGGGGAATTGGAGACAATACTTTGTTTATAATGAAGGGCAGCTGATTTCTGCAACATGAGTTGTGTGATTTTTATGTTTTAAAGCTGTTTCTTTTTCTTAGCAGTATAAATAGACATTTTTGTCATTTCAAGCCTCTGAATAATTCTGTGTAGATGAGTAGTGGGGTTTACCACTACTGCAGATCTGTAAAGAAATGCAGTTTTAATTCCCCGCATGGCTTTGTGACCAGGAAGCAGCTGGAGTACTTAGTTTTAAGCTAGAGTGAATTGCTCTTGAATGCAAAGCTTGATTGTCCTCTAAATTCTTCCTGCAGAACTCAAGTTTTCTCTGTGTGTTTCTGTTCGTTTCTTGTTCCCTCTCTCTGGTTCCGTGGGCTCGTTTCTTTGTCTTGCAGGCAGTAGCAGCAGCAGTAGCTCAGACTCCACATGTTCTGTCATAGAGAAGCCTCTGGATGAGTTCTTGCCTCGTGAGTGGCGGCCCTCACCTTCTCTAACAGAGCTCTGGCTTCTCCATTACTCATGGGCTTCATTTGGGAGATGCTGCCCCACTCCCTGTCATGACTGGTCCATGTTGGGCTCCCAGTAGAAAAGCATGTGGCCCCACCCTGCCATGGCTTCAGTTAACTGAAACATAGGCCAGAGCCTATGTTTGAGACAGTGGAAGAGAGAATCATGCTTTTGCTGCTGAGATAATGTAAAGAGAGCTAGTAAGCTGTGTAAAAGAATAATTCTCGGGATTCTTTTTTATGCCTCATTATACGTTTTTAATTCTGGTCAGTGTAAGAGATTTGAACAACACATCTTGAATCTCTGCAAATACAAATGAACATTTGTTGGTGCAACAGCACCCAATGGAACAAGCTGTCTGTGCTCCAAATACAGAGATGAGTGAAGCCCGAGGCAAGTGAGGAAGACAGAGTAGTGTTTCCTTCCAACTGGGCGCTCCCCCACTGCTAAGTTACCAGGTCAATTTTAACTCTTTCTGAGGTGTGATTAGAAAATTCAGTCACACAGCGCTCATAACGTCTGTCTAGACTTCTTCAGTCTTAGATTTTTTGGTAAACTGTAAGTTGAAAGCATTATTTAATTTTGTCTATTTCTACTTTCAGAAGAAAATGGAAGCGAAGCTTGCTTCCACCAGCTTGCAGCTTGCTGTCTCTTAAAACATTATCTGTGTCCTTACCTTTTCCAGACTAATGGCAGAAACCATTGCTTTTAGCTTTACTAGGGAAACTCTCAAGGATCTCAAGACACTGTGTCTGTTGACACTGCTGAAACAAGTTACCAGACAGCTGACCTCACTGGATAAGTTATAAACTACGTGGCATTGTGCAGACACCACTTAGAAGCACAGCTTTGTATTATAAACTGTGAAGTGAGAGAAAATATCTGAGAGGAAGCATTGTAACTTAATTTTCTGTTCTAAAACTTACCATTCTTAGAGAGTAGTTATATGAAAGTAGGTTATGAAATGAGTTGTACCTTATTCAATTCAAGACTTTTTTTTTCCAATTCAAGAGCTTTAATTGCTGTTTTCATACCTAACATTTACCTTTTGCTGTCATAACATGGATGTGTTGGGGAGGTGGAGAGATGATTGTCCCAGCATGTGGTTGCTGTGTGTGACTTGTGCGTATTTCCCCTCCCATTAAAAAATATGAATGGCCATTCGATGTCCCTTGCTTGAATCATCAGTTTCATTTATATCTCTAGTCATTATTTAATTACCCAGAACAATCAACCCATAGGCTGAATGTAAATTTGCTACTATACAGGTGCACTTCATTTTACGTAATTAGAGCTGCTTACAAATCAAGTTGGGAAATCAAATACTGTGAACTTACTGCCTTTAAAATTCATTAACCTTTTTGTTAATCACATGATCAGTACAACCTACTGTAAAATAGTTATCTGTTTAGTTGCTTCAGGTCTACCTGGTGGATTTTCTTAAAATGGGGGACACCTGTAATGGGTCTTTATATAGAAGAAACATTGAATTGGGAAATTTTGGAAATGGACAATGAGAGCTTTGTTACTTTTAACTTACTAATTTTAAAAATTGACTTCATTTTTGGTTTTGCCCTTTTAGATATTTTCCAGGTTTAGTAGGTTCCCAATTCCATGTGTGTAATCCATCAGCATATGCACTGAGCTGTTCCACTTGCAGGGGGCACTGTGGGAACCCGGGATTGCGTGGGAACCACAGAGTGGATTGAGTCTAGCATTTGTGATTGTCTTCTTATGGAACATGCTTTCTTTTTCTGTGGACTCTATTTCAGTTGTGATTATTTGATTCATGTCTTTGCTCATGCTAAATGAATGCTGTTACACATTTTCTCTGTTTTACAAAGGAAATAATGTTTTCCTTTCTTCCCTCCTCATCTCTGTGCTTCCTGTCTGCGACTCGCTTACCGCTTCTTTGCAAGATCAAGCAGGTTGGTGTGATTGGCTTGCACTCCACGTGGTGCAATTACTCATTTTCTCAAGACCTTTTATTTTAGTTCTTCACAATTTTTTAATTTAATAATTTTTACAAGGTAAGTATCTTTTTTTTAAAAAAAAATTCCGTTTTAGCTGCTTTAAAAAACCTTTTCCGTAAATCCTTAAAGATCACTAGACCAATTTCTGAAAATACCCTTATAATTGGTTTGACACATTCAGGCATTTTCCTTTTTTGAAGGCCAAGCGTCAGTTCCTGCTGCCCACACCATGGGTTCTTGTGATACAGATGACATGAATCCAGTTGGCACTTGCTGCAGCACCGCCCTTAGCCGCCCTGCCAGGTCACCTTCACTCAGGTAGCACCTGGCAAAGGGGAACAGAAAGGCTCACTGCTGCTCTTTGACTTAGCTAAATACCTTTTATAATATCAACATGGCTTTTTAGATATATATTCCCACCCCCACCCCGTCTCCCAGGCAATGTTTCTCTGAGTAACAGCCCTGGCTGTCCTGGAACTTGATTTGTGGACCAGATTGACCTCAAACTCATAGAGATCCTCCTGCCTCTGTCTCCCAAGTGCTGGAATTAAAGGTGTGCACCACCACTGCCCAGCTGCCTTTTGAGGTTTATTTACTTAATATTTTTGTGCAAAATTTTATCATGGAGAACTGGAAAAGTTTCTGAGATTCGGGTTTTTTGTTGTTGTTGTTGTTGTTTTTTGTTTTTGTTTTTAAATTGATTTGGTTGAGGAGACTGTGTATGTATGTATGTATGTATTGCCCTAGGTATGAACCTAGGGCTTTGCACGTGGTGGCCAAGTACTGAGCTAAACCATATCTCCTTTTAGCAATCCCTAGAAGTATAGTCTCTCATCCCATTGGAGGATCAGAGTGCTCATTGGCTGCTGGGGGCAGGTGGTTTCAGGCCCCTGACAGCATTCCCAGTGGAAGCAACCCACGGAAGGCTAAGGCTTGTATCCAGGGAGCACAGGATAACAGTTCATTCCTTAAAGATCTATCTACAAGTTACTCTTGGTCACCACATTTTTTACACAGTCACATTTAGCTTAAAGTGTTATTTGAAAAAAATACCATGGCTTGTCATGGTGATCCTGGCTAGAGCCACACGGGACTTGGATGTGTGGACTTTTGAACTGACCCTAGCTGTGTGGAGAGTGTCTCCATGAAATCCTCTTGAGCACAGTGAGACACCTGCTTCTAAAGCATGGGTTTGAAGGGGTTACTGTGTAAGGCAATCAGTTCATCAAGAGACAGTGTTTATGTATTTTTATATGCAAGCTCTTTCTGTATTACTCTCTTCTGATGGGTTTTTGGAACTCTATAACAATTAGCAAAACAAATCACTACAAGTCCAAATTTCTTATTTGATCCATTCATGTAGTCTGTGTCCTTAGTACCCATGTCTTCTACACACACACTTTTTTTAGTGTATTTGCAATTTTTCTCTAAACATTTGTAATGCTGAGGTGGGAAGTTCCATGTTTACTTCCTGTAAACCTCAGCTTAGACTTTTCTCCTACAATTTTTAGTAAGTGTTGTTATGGATAGAAAATCTTTCCAAGTAGTTCATTGGGAATAGAAGTGAACTCATTTGTGAAAATCATTCTTCTAAAACTTAATTCAGAGGGTTCAAGGTAGGTGGCTGTGCCGACAGGCCCGGGCCCACCTCCGACACGGAGTGCAGTGAATCACACCACACCAGCCGCCTGGATCTTAGTTCCTCTTTGGTTTTGTGCCTAAGATTTTGCTTTAGACTTTAGTTCTATAGAAGGAAGGATGCCGTTAAACCCTTGAGATTTTGTCTCAAGAGTTGAAAAAGCCTATGCATGACCCTGCCTTTCATGGTTCAAACAAGACTCTGCTCAGATCTGTAGTGCCATCGTGATTGTTTTCAGTTCCTTTCCTTAGCAGGAGGGGCTGGGTGGGGTGGAGACACTGATGGATAATCCTCCATCCTTGTCCCTTGGGAAGGAAGTTGAGAACGACAAACTGAGGAGAGCCTCAGGTCTGACAGTTCTATGAAACGCTTGTTGTTCTGAGGGAGCGTGTTTCTCAGAACTCGCATCAACCAGAAATGAACTGTCATTGGCTCAGTTTCAGAACCATCTTAATAAGCTAGTGTCTGTTTTCTCTTTTTGATTTTTTCATATAACTTCATGGTTTGGAGGTTCGTTGGTGAACTGCTTGTGAGCAGGCTGCACATACACCTACACATGCTTGGACATGACAATCAGTTGGAAGCTGCATTCCACCTTTATTAGTTGGTAGTGCTTCTGCTGACTGTTGGTTCTTAGCATGTTTGATCTGAGTTAGGGACTTTGGTGATCTAGTTTGTTATAGTAAGTTACTTTGGTGGCTCATTTATGATTTACCAGGGCAGCTTATCAGTGTAAAACACCTGCCTTAAATGAGTAATTTAATGATTGTGAAAGTGATGGAAGAATCATTTTCCTTTTTAGCCTCTCTGCACCCTTTGGGGACCCACAAGCTTTGCTTTTTTATTTGGCTTTCCTGTTACTTTTCTTTCCCTACTTTTCTGCTCATCTCGTTTGTTCTCTTTCATTTTTCCCCTTGCATATCATTACACAGTTAGACAACAGTTTGAATTTATTAATGAATTAAAAAATTCTAGGAACTATGACGTAGAAATGGAAGTTTAACATTTGCTGTTGTATGACTGGGTATAGACAGTGCTATACTAAGATAATTCTTATGTCTGAAACATTGACTACTTTTAGTGACTGCTGCAATTAAATGACTCAAATAGGTAAAAAGAAAGTTTCCCCAGATAAGATGGTGGAAATGCAAGCGAAAATTGATGAGGAGAGAAAAGCATTGGAAACAAAACTTGACATGGAAGAAGAAGAAAGAAACAAGGCTAGAGCTGAACTGGAGAGACGGGAGAAGGACCTTCTGAAAGCCCAGTGAGTGTGGTGGGTCCAGATGGGCTCATGGCTGGAGTTCTAATGTCCTTCATAGGACTGTGTATCAGGAAATCGATCAATTAAAAGATAATGAAAATCTTGATTTTTGTTTCCAGCATAGCTGTTTTAGGGTAGAGGGTCCACTGTGTGTGATATATTTTTAAAACTTGGATCTTTCTGATCATTTAATCTCTGTGTTGGAGAAAATATTGGCCAAGGTGAATTAATCCTTAGTTGATGAGTTGAATGCCGTGTAGTGGTGTGCTTTGGAGAGGTATCACATGACTGAACTTTTCTAAGTGTGCATCTTCAGTTCTACTTTAATTGGGGGAGTGAGATTAGAACGGCGGATGACAGGGATTTAGAATGTTCTCCTTTTCCGTATAGACAAGAGCATCAGTCTTTGCTGGAAAAGCTGTCTGCTTTGGAGAAGAAAGTCATTGTAGGTGGTGTGGACTTATTGGCCAAAGCTGAGGAGCAAGAGAAGCTTCTTGAGGAGTCCAATATGGAGCTGGAGGAGAGGAGGAAGAGAGCTGAGCAACTTCGGAAAGAACTCGAGGAAAAAGAGGTGACGCCATGTTGAGTGTGGTGTGCAGCACGCTCACCTTTTCCAGGGCAAACTAAATTCCGAAGATAAAATGGAAAGCAGATTATGGATCATTTTGAAGACAGTAGTTACCAAACGTCTAGATCATTTGTTACATTGAATTTGTGACTTAAAATTATTCTGAAGTTAACCTGTTTTTAATCGTAGCAAGAACGCTTGGACATTGAGGAAAAATACACCAGTCTACAAGAGGAGGCACAGGGAAAGACGAAGAAATTAAAGAAAGTCTGGACCATGCTGATGGCTGCAAAGTCTGAGGTCGGTGTCTTAGAGACCCTATGATGCAGTTTAGAGTCTTAATGTGTGTTTACAGGGTTTGCTTGCTTGTGTTGTTTTTGTTTCTAAGACAGGATTGCTCTATGCAGCCCTAGCTGTTCTGGAATTCGCTCTATAGACCAGGCTGGCTTTGAACTCACAGATCTGCCTGCCCCTGCCACCTGAGTGCTGGGATTAAAGGCATCCGCTGCTGCTGGCCACCACCGCCACTACCACCTGGCTTTGTGTGCTTACAGTTTTAAAGCACTAAAACACTCACTTCTCTCTGTGTATTTTAAATTTTACTTGTTAACTAGCCAGTGGCAGTCTGTCCAAGAACTGGGCCAGTGTCCTGGGCCAGGGGCAGTATTTATGCTTAGAGTCTTGTTTGCTTTATGCTGTCTTGGGTTCTCTGGTAGATGGCTGATCTTCAGCAAGAGCATCAGAGGGAAATTGAAGGCCTCCTGGAGAACATTCGGCAGCTCAGCCGTGAGCTTCGGCTTCAGATGCTTATTATTGATAACTTCATACCTCAGGACTACCAGGTGAGAGGAGTCTGATCTAGACATTAGGTCATTGACGAGGGCTAAAGAACAAGCCAGCATAGCAAATTAAGATGTTACATGTTCACATTGCAGCTGTCCTCTGTAAAACTTTCTTGAACTAATGCCATCATATAAAAGTGTCTTTGTTAGGGTTACTATTGCTGTGATGAAACACAAAGACCAAACAAATTGGGGATGAAAGGGTTTATTTGGCTTGTACTTCCACATTAAGTTCATCAGTGAAGGAAGTCAGGACAGGAACTCAAACATGGCAGGAATCTGGAGGCAGGAGCTGATGCAGAGACCATGGAGGGGTGCTGCTTGCTGGCTTGCTTAGCCTGTTTTCTTATTGAATTCAGGACCACCAACCCAAATATGGCACCACTCGCAATGGGCTGGCTCTCACAATGGGCTGGCTCCCCCAGCAATCACTAATTAAGAAAATGCCTGACAGTGGTAGCACACACCTTTAATCTCAGCACTTGGGAGGCAAAGGCAGGTGGATCTCTGTGAATTTGAGGCCAGCCTGGTCTACAGAGAGAGTTCCAGGACAGCCAAGGCTAGACAGTGAAATCCTATCTCAAAAAAAAGAAAGGAAGGAAGGAAGGAAGGAAGGAAAGAAAGAAAGAAAGGAAAATGCCTTACAGATGGATCTTATGGAGGTATTTTCTCAACTGAGGCTCCCTCCTTTCAGATCACACGAACTTGTATCAAGTTGACATAAGACCAGCCAGCATAAAAGGTGTTAGCTTTCTTTAGAATGTAATTCTCTTTTCGAGTATCTAAGTATCTAAATAAGAATGTGTCAGCCCGTTGAAAGGAAGGACCTTGCTCCATGTAAATGCATGTAGAATAAAGGTGAAGGTCCTATTGATTGATTGACAGACTTTATTAGAAAGTAGAGAGGGAGCTGGAGAGGTGGCCCAGTGGTAAAGAAGGTTGGCTGCTCTTTCAGAGGACCCAGGTCCAGCACCCACATGGCAACTCATCACCATCTGTAACTCCAGTTCTGGGTATTCAACACCCTCTTCTGTCCTCCACAGGCATCAGGCAGACATGTGGTGCACAGATACACATGCAGACAAAACACTCATCTACATGAAATACATGCATAAATACTTTTTAAATAGAATAAGCAGAATGTGCTGCTGTCCTCTTCCTTGATGTATGCACTCTGTGTGTGTGTTAGTGTGTGTGTGTAAAAATAGAATATGGAATTGTCTATTCTAGTCATCTTTATGTATATAGTTCAATAACATTAAATACATTCACTTAGTTATACAACCAGCCATCATCACTAGTCGTTTTCAAACAGGCGGTAATTGTTATCACCAGCATAATTTGAAAATCTTACCTTTTCCTAAGCAAGAATTTTATTTTTCAGTATGTGTGTATGTGGGAATGTGAGTTTGTGTACAGCATCTAGGATAGAGCATTGGGTCCCCTAGAACTGGAGTTACGGGAGGTTGTGAGCCGCTGGATGTGTGTGGTGGGAACTTAGTCCCAGGTGTCTGCAGGAGTAGTGCGCACTCTTAACCCTGGAGCCATCTCTCCAGCCCAACTTCCAGTATGTTCTTAATAAACTTAAACCTGTGATTTTTTTAAAAAACAATGTTGTGAATCTCTGAATAGCTATGAGAAATTTTTCTGAAATTTTCCCTTCAGATCTCAGGTACCCAGAGTCAGTCCTGGGTTTCTGGAACACTCCAGAATGTCCTAGTTCCATGTTGTAACTCATTACCCCAAATCAGAGCTGAAATCTAGACGGTAACCTATTTCTAGCTGAATGGTTTCCCAGCCTTTCTACCCTTGGTCTCTTCCAGCCCAGCCTTACTGTCCTCCTGATTCCCAGGATCCCAACTTTTGCTTTTTGTTTTTATGTGGTTGAATAGTATCCACATGTGTTCTTAAGAATGTGTGTGTGTGTGTGTGTTTAAATTTATTTTTATTTTATGTATATGGATGTTTTCCCTGTATGTATATATGTGACCATGTGCATGCCTGGTGCCCACAGTGACCAGAAGAGGTGTTGGAACCCCCGGAATTAGAATTACATACTGTTGTGAGCCACCATGTAGGTGCTGGGAACTGAACCTATGTCCTCTGCAAAACAGTTGGTTTTAACCACTGACCCAACTCTCCAGCCGAAGGACTGTGTATTTTTAAATGCTTGATGCAGTATATAATGTTTAGAAACAACTATTTTCACTTAACATTGATGAAAGTGTAGGTCAAATGATTCTTCGGCAAGTAAAGGCTCATTATGTAAACCATGAGACCTGAGTTTGATCCCCGGAACCCACATGGAGGTATAAAAAGAGAGAACTGACTCCACAAAGTTGTTCTTGGACCACCACATAAGCATTATGACGTGTCCCTACCCCCATCGTGTGTGTGTGTGTGTGTGTGTGTGTGTGTGTGTGTGTGTGTGTGTGTGTGTGTG